CTCGTCATGGTCTGTTGTAGTTCAAGCTAGCAAGATAGTTCTTGACTTCATGGATATATACAAGAATCAGAATCAAGTTCATCAGAATATGAAGATGATGCAACTTTTCCTTCCTCCTCCATCAAATTTTGTACGTGTGTACTTTGATGGCTCAATCTCTCAATCTTCACATTGTCCAGTGCTGGAATTGTTATCCAAGATTCTAGTGGTCACTTCATGCATGGATTATCCCGCCAATTTCTGGACGTTATGGACTCTGATTTGGCTGAAGCCTTAGCTTTGAGAGAAGCATTACTTTTCTGTGAAGACTAGGGCTCACAAATATTGCTGTTCAAGGTGATTCTTCTCTCATCATTTTGGTGGCTTTGGAAGACATTAATGGTCCCTCGATTTGCTCCTCGGTTTCGGAATACTATATATTTGTCATGCCTTGTCGGTTTCTCATTTGTCTTGGATATCACTACAACAAATACCCCTCTAATATGACACATATATTGGGACACTTTTAGTTCAAGTGTCCCAATAAATATATGTTGAGACAATTTGTAACAAGTGTCCCATTAGAATGACTTGAGGGGATGTATTTATGCGTCCTATTAAAAAGCGTCCCAACATACCATAGGACGCTTAATAACGTCCTTTTACGTGTTATATTAGGACGTTTAAAACCGTCTTATCAGTTTAGTTCACTAGTTAAATTTTCTTTATTAATATTTTTTCATTAATTTTTGATATTTTATTGATACACGTAATAGTTTATGAATCCACATTAACAAACTAACACCCTTATTTATTTATTGGTACCATTTAAACTATTAAAGGTACTAAGGTTATGCCACAATAGTGATGTGTTGTATAATAACATGTTCAAACAAATTTATATATGGTATGTTTTTGCTAATAAAATGGATTGTTGACGAACAATATCGGGATTTATAAGTCCCAAATATAAACTAATGAGAATATTTCAAGTGTTTAGTGCATTACATTATTAGTTATTGCACAGAACCTATTAGACATGTAACATTTGTAATAGTAAGTACCGATTCGTATTCAGTTTCATTATAAATTTCTGAAACGAACAAACACTAATAACACGAGATATCTCACATACTTTATTGTTCATGTCATAACAGATTACCTCTGGTTGCTTACATATACCGTGTTAAACTATCAACGGAGAAAGTAATTCAAAATTATTTGGAAAACATAATTATCATTTATTTATGACGTGATTTTAATTCATAACCCAATAGTTTTATTATTTCATATTTGTGTTTAAACATTGTGATAGTCTCAGAATGTCATTCAAATAAAGTACTTGGGTTCAATTTAAAAATGGCAAATATTTTATTAAGGGTGGAAATGAAAATAATTACATTTTCTTCGGGTTGAAATGAAGGAAAACGTTATAGAGTGTCTAGTTTGTAATTGTAAGGGTGTCACTACATAGTTTAGCATTTTAATGGGCTCGATACTTCAATTACACCTTTTTTTCAAAAAAAAAAAGAAAAAGAAAAAATAAGTGCATCTAACCCGAAAAAAATAAAAACAAATAAAGAATTTAAAAATGATGATTTTTTTTTCCTTTTTTCTTTTGAAGCGGGTAAGTGCCGAAAATTTTCTACTTTACTCTTTTTCCCTCTCTTCACAACATTCACCTCCCGCTTCCTGCCCCCAAAATTCCCCCCCTTTCTAGTTAGCCCTATTTCCCTGCCCAAACTTTTGCTATTGCCTCCTCCACGCGTTGCTGCATTTTAGGTCGTTTTTGAACCCTCGAATATTTCGATTTTCCCCGAGTGGATGGACTCTATCTCCATCCACCACCACCTGAGGATATAGATTCATCTAAGCCACGGCAAAATAAATCTGACAAACCATTCAGATCTTGTTATTTCGAACCCTACCGAATCCTCTGAATGCATGTCCTAACGGTTTGGAGCTCCTATAGTAGTTTGGAGCTTCTATTTCAGATAACCGAAAAGGGAGCTAATCTCCAGAAATCAAGAAACAGAAGAGATAGTTGCAGGTGGAGGAATAAAAGTTGGTCCTAAGATGGTTAGTCCGCCGGAGCCTACCTTGCTCTTTGCCAAAACAGTTGTCATTCGACTCTTGATGAATACGGCGAAAAAGTAAGCACCACCAGAAACTTACATTAAACGGTTTCTAACTCTATATTATGTTGAATACGAGCATATTATGCTCTAATACAACAGTCTAGTGGATGTTGTACGCATTCACACTGAGGTGCCACAAAGATTTAACTTTGAGAATTTAAATTTATTGTGTTCAATATCATATTACTCCATTGTCCGCAAAACAATAGTCAGGTCGTTCTTCTAAGCATTCATTGAATTTTGTATGTTGAATTTTGAGATGTTCAATTTTATATATTGTGAGTGCTTTCTATTTTTAGTGATGGGATAGATTGAGTCGGGTGTTAATTAGTTTTGGTTGTCTTGCAGATAGTTTTGTGGATGAAATTGGCAAATATTAAGGTTTCGCTTTACTGTTTCAAGGGGACGAGTCCGTTCTTTTGTGCCTGTACTCATTGAGTTGTTCTACTGATATGCATTTGTTTCTCCAGGTATCATAAAACAACTAAGACTTCACAAAACTTGGTACAAATTTGAAAGTAAGAAGGAAAGCCAATCTGAGTTAACTCCAAATTAAACTAGTATTTTGCGGGGTACATGCAGAAAATTGTTGAAGAAATTTAGCCCAACTGAAAATTTTCATTCTTGAACCTTCCTAAAGTGAGGCTCTACTCGTTTAGTTTCCTTTGGTTTTTGTTTGATTCTTGTGGTGTTGCATCAATGCAACTGATGAAAATAGTTAAGTAGCTCTTTTGCTTTGCCCATCAAATTGCTATATCATCTTAATTCTAAAAACTGATTATTCTTTATTCGAACTAGATGTTTTGAAGTTTTTGGTCATTCTACCTGCTATGTAGTTAGTTCTCTCTCTTTAGACATCAAACTATTTTTACCCCTTCTGTAATGCTAAAAGTTTCTCCCTTACGTTTTTCATTCTAGACCATCAAAAAGTTTTTGCTACATTAATTATGGTAGTGATCTTTTGTTTCTTTTCTATGAAACTTAACTTTGTTTTTCATAAGCAGATTTTGGCTAACTATCTATTGATGTGCAACAGAAATTTAATAACATGTTTTTTAATTTTTTTTCTTTTCGGCTTTATAGTGATGTTTAATTTGCCTCAAATGTATAGTCAAGGTGCTAATCGTTGGTTTCATCTATAGGAAGAATTGATGAAAGCAAAAATGGAGGTTGCTTATCTTGCAAACATTTGGAGGTAATTAGGTTCTGTTAAATTCTCAAGAACTCGTGAATATCTCTCGAATTCCTCTTGTCAAATTCTTAAGTTTGAACTGTGAGGTATGCTGTTTTAGGAACTCAACTGAACTAGAGAAAGAATCTCAAGAAAAGTTTATGAAAGCACTTGCTTTGTTGTTGTACTGCTAGCTGACGTAGTGTAGCGTGCTTCCAGGGTGCATCATCTGATACTTAAGGTCTTTCGATTAATGGATGTGTTTTCTGCACTTTCTGAAATTTTAAAGGACAGCAAAACTTGTTAGATTAACTGTAACATGATTCAAATAACTATTTTTCTTCAAGGTTTTTTGTTCTATTGGAATAAGTATATCATGGCTGAACTGATTGTGAGTTTGAGTCTACGGCCTAGCAATGCGAGTGTTCCGACTAATGGGTGTAAGAACCATGAGTTATAAAACTTTGTAGCTTTTACTTCTGCCATTTATTTTGTTTTTTTTTTCCAATGTTCTTTTTAGCCCCCTTATGATCTTCGTAGATAGCTTCTACGAGAGGGAGTGTATATGTTTAAAACTTTTGGCATGATGAAATTATCCTTATTTCACCAAACTCACAGAAAACATAATTCCAGAGGTAGAACCGTTGTTCCATCGGCTTTAATTTTAGTAAAGCAATTAATGTTTTGAAGTATCTAATACATAAGTGCATTGTTCATAACAATAGCTTTTATGTTTTCATTTGATATATGCCTTCAACTAATAGATAAGGAAAGGATGTTGTAGGTTAAAACATTGCAGTCCCATTGTGTTAGTAGTTCTGAATCTCTTTGTAACGTGTTAATGGTATAATGTGTGTGTTCGTATATACTATATGTCTTGCCATTGATGAGGAATACCTACTTGTTCGACGAAGATAAAAAATGCAGACCCCTCTTTGTTATAATTTGTGAAGATTAAAAATTTCTACATGGAATGCATTTTGGGTAATATAAGGGAGTCTCCTAATATGACTTTTGTAGTTTGTAGTTTGTTTAGGCAAAAGAATAAGTAACTTTTGTCAGTTAATCACTTGAAATAGTCCCGGTACCAAAAAACAAAATTTGGAGGATTGCTCTATAATTTATACTTATCTAATGGTGTTTAAATATTGTTTAGGTCAATAAAATAGATTATTTTTTTGGGATAAAAGTAGTATAATTTATTTCACCAAAACGAAACTAGACTACATGGAATTATTAAGAGTGGTGATACATTGATGATGCATGTAAATTTGACAAGTATATCTACAAGGAATGGTGTGGCCGAATCTTAAAGATCTCTTAAACTCTTAAAAGGATAAACCTCTAAAGATGTAAATTTATGATATGAGTGATTATAGTTCATTCTTTACAAAAATTCCTCATAATATTTCCCTGCACGATGGCACATAACTCAGGTACATTAACGTTTCTCTTGTATGATCCCCGAACATTTTATTAGGGACAGTATAAATAATACATTCATTCATAAATTAATTTTTCAATTACATGTGAAGAACTACTAAAATCTTAACAACATTCTCTAATTATTATATAAGTTGATAATTATTTGTTTTAGTACAATAGAGGCAAAAGTGTATAGATCTAGATTAAAACGTTCTGTGGGTTAATATAAGTTAATAATTTGAGGGTAGCTGAGAAATAGAGAGAACAAACAATATGTACGAGAGTAAGGAATTAATTTATTTATTTTTTCTTTGTGGTACGTTGAAAGAGTTAAAATTTAATATAGTACATTAAATTACAACGTTTAAGTGATTAAGGAAAGCATCAATTAATTACGTCGTATTCCATCCACTATTTAACTCCCCCTGCTAGGTTCGTCATCGGAGGTGAACTTATTTCTTTCGAGCATGCAATTTGGTGATGCTTTGGTAAAAGATGAATTGGAAACCCAAAGCTATGATGCGTCCCATGCTAGCACCAATCACCTCAATGAATGCCATTAACACTGATCTCTGTGGAGAAAAACCAGCTGCTATGATGGACATAAAAAATCCCTCCAAGTTGCAGTGAACATTGAAAACACCACATTGGATCCCATTCAGTGCTTTCTTGGCAACTTCTTCGGCTTTCATTGGAGTAGAGAAGGCTGCTATTGCGCCGGTGATCGGGGGCCTCCTTTTTTTGTCTACATACTTTTAACTGTTAAATTTCTGACCTAACAATTTGGTATACGTACATACATACAGATATATAAGTAACCGGAAAATGAAAAAAAAATAAAAATAAATGCACATTTCTATGTTCCCTTTCCCGCGGATTTCATCCTAGGTAAAAAAATGTAACTCCTCTTTAAAATAGATACGGGAATCGTCGACATTTCCCTCACAGTTGTGTTCTTTCGTTCTAGAGCTCAAGATCAAGTCGGACAATAATCAACTAAGATGTCAGCTACATAAATTCAACAATGGAATCAATGAACGAAAAATATCAAAATTGGTTATGATATTCAACGAAAATAATCTAAACCCTAAACCCTGAACAAAACACGAAGTCAAATTTAGACATATAATAGATTTATTTTTTGTTTTTTTTTCTTTTTACGTCCAAACATGTATTGGTGTAGAAGTGCAATGGAAAAAATAAGAAAAAGAAAACAACGTACGAGTATGTGTTATAACCATAAAGAAAAAGAAAAAATTAAATCTAAGTGCCAAATGTTTAATTATAGAGAGGGCAAGGATTTTTCTTTCGTTCAGTCTTTTACTTAGTTGACTTTCATTTTTTTAATTAATTGAAAGGATCGATGTACATGAATCAAAGAACACGTGTAAACTCAAAGTCCCATCAGACTACTGAACATGAACATGCTAACGATGAGAAACGAGATTAAGTAACTATTTCCTTTTTGGCACAACTACAATATATTTGAATTAATTTCCTAGTTTAACCAGCTGGTTGAATATGATGATTTAGGTCCAAACATATAGCTAATTTTCTGCAAACACGAGATTAGGAACTTAATCAATCTTCGGTCATATTTGGCCATATAAGATGCAAGGAAATCGCAACTTGCATGCAAAACAAAAACCAAAATAGAAGTGAATTAAAGAACAACTTGTGATGGAAAGTCACGCCAATAAACTTAAAGCAGAAATCATGAGAGGCTAACCTTCAACCAAACCAGGGGTCTCAGTATCGGGAGGAAATATAAGTGAAACGTGAATGTCATCTTGAATGATCTCCTGCTGCAGGGCTTCTGCCATACCCCTGAGCCCAAACTTACTTGCACAATAGGCTGCATATCCATAGATTCCCATCTACCGAAACGAAATCAACGTTACATGCATGGAAACAATAGTCCAAAAGAGTTTAATTTCATATCCCTTATGTTTATGAAAATTTAATGGTCGACTTTTAGAGTGAGATATGAACTTTTTTACCCTTAACCATAAGTCGAGAATTAAAAAATATACACCTGACCAGCCTGAGAAGACGTAAGGGCGATACAACGAGGAGTACTCCTTCCGGCTCTTTTTTCCTTCATACCAGGTAAAGCAGCCTTGATCAAATGAAATGTTCCCAACAAGTTCACATCAATCATTGACTTAATCTCCTCCAGTGATTGCCTCTCCAGCTCCCGAGCGAAAAACAGGCCCTGGTTGCAAATCAATACATCGATGGGTCCCGCATCGTTCACGGCTCTCGAGACGGCGTCGTAGTCTCTGACGTCAGCTTCGTAGACAGCCACGTCACAACCAGTTGCGAGCTTGATCCAGTCCTTGGCTTCTTGTATCTTATCACGGGCGAGGATGGAAACCTGGGCTCCGGCCAAAGCGGCTTGGTGGGCCATAGCAAGCCCAATGCCGCTCGACCCGCCCGTGATAAAGACGTGGCGGTTTTTGATCGGGATTGTGGTGGTGGAAGGCTTTGGACGGACGATTACGGCGAGAAAAATGAGAAGAGAAATGGGAATGAGGAAGAGGAGGAGGAGGAATCCCATCTGTTTGTTCTCTTTCCTGATTTTGAGTGAAGAGAGAAGCGAGAAAATCCAAATTTCATTTAGCAAAAAGAAAAGTCAAAGAAAAAATTCATGTAAATCACCCCTGAGGTAAGCTAACTTTATTGTTACTCCTTCTTGAACGTCACAAAAGTTATCGAATAATAGTTTACTGTCTCCATCTCACAAAAATAATTCATATTTAGTTTTGAATTTTGTACTGTTTTTAATACAAATTTGAAAACTTAATATATTATTTTTTTGGGGATGTAGTATTTGAAAGCTGCATTAGACTGGTCAAGAAGAACAACCGGAAAGAAAGATAGAAGAAAATCTAGGAAAAGTGAATATGGTAAATCTCTTCAAAACAAAAATAAGGGTAATATATAGTGATTAAATTTTGCACTCAATTTATGAACTGCTTAAAACGATAAAAGGCAAATTTTCATGGATTAGGGAACTAATAAGCATCGTTCAACAATGATATATATGTCTAAAAACCATTAAATATTTCCCAGGTTACCACAGAAAGAAATGATCAATATTCTGTTGAATCTAATATTGCTCCATCAGTCCAAATAAAGTTAACATTAGTTTTCTAAATTGTACTAACAAGTTACAATTGTGGATAATTTTTTTTTCTCTCTTTTTCTGCACGGAGAAAGTGATAAAATTGAGCTTATGCTTTAAAACAAATTCGTAACTCCCTCAATGTTTAAAGAAATTTCCGGTGCAATGTGTCCATGTGCGTCAATGTGGTCTTAAGGGAAGAGCTTATTAATTTCTCCCGTGACAGCGCCGTTCTCAACGCTGACGTCTCAGACATGCACTAAGACACGAAACACGATGATATCAAAAATATCAAAAGATTCTCAATTTTAGAGACCATAGCCAATGACTGAATTTCGATTTAGAATGGGTAAAGAGTGTTGGAAAAAAAAATTAGGCGAATGCTAATAAATAAAAATTAATAAATAAATAAAATAAATTAATACTTGAGTCGCACTAAAAAACAATGTTCTTAAAAAATTATTCCAATGGTATTGAAATGTCTCCCCAAGATTAAACAAGTTTTCCTTAAATGATAGAGGGAATAAGAACAGCTAAAAAAATATTAATCCAACAATAAAGGATAATAGAAATTAAACTTTTTATTTTAAAGACCAAAGAAAATTATGCTAAAACAACTCAAGGCTTTTGTATTTAATGTGCCGAAATCAGTAAACAAAGAAAACCAAACCTTTTTGGTGTTGAATGAAGAAAAATGGGCTTTAAGCCATGAATGACCGAAAGAAAAAAGAAAATGAAGGAAAGAAAGATTGGAGAAAAGAGAAAATGTTTGGTGCCTTTTTTCTCACTCAAATTTGGCATCTATTTATAGTGCCAAAATGTCCCGTTGCTGCCCCCAAAATATCATAAATAAGATTCTTCATTTGATAAGATTAAGACTTTTAGTGGGCAGATTTTAGGAACAGACTACCAAGACTCATTCTTCCACTTTGACTTGGCATTTTGGGTTTATTATCCAAAAAACATGAGATGAACCAAGCCAATTCTACAACACATTTTTACTAATTAACTTAGTAACAATAAAAATCTTTTAAAAATATTCAACAATTCCCCACATATTTCAAAAGATTTTAAAACTATAAGAATGTGTGTGTTCTCGTGGGGATTTTTGGTTAAGGGTGTTAATTGCTTATCCATCTTGGGCAGCGCCAGTTTGTTTTTCATGGGGATTTTTGGCTTGTGCCTTAGTCCTACCGACGCGAAAGATTCCCGAGATCTCTTGAGTGTGTGTTCTCGTTGTATGTGGTTCTCGACAATGGCCCACATTTCTGAGCATTCTTGGGGAGCTTAGTCGAGAGCTTGACTCGCAACATTGAGAATTTTTCAAAGGGGTTAAGGCCTTGGATGAATCCATTGCGAACATCCCGATCATCGATACTGTCGACCTGCAAGGTTTCTTGTATGAACCGTCTGTGGAAGTTGGTCAGACTCTCATGTTGTCCTTGTCTGATCGAGGAGAGGTCAATAGACATCCGCGATATTTGTTTACTCTGGAAGAATCGGGTAGCTAGTTTGACGGACAAATCCTCAATGCTAGTTGTACTCCCTTCTGGTAATTGCCCAAACCATCGTTGTGCTGACCCGGCCAAGTAGGAAGGTAGCGCTTTGGCCATGAAATTCATGGTTGCATTTCGAATTCTCATGACCTGGACATATCCTTGCAGTCATTGGGAGACACCAGTATCTCCTGAATAAGGTTTAAATTCCTTAGGGAAGTCAAAGTCTCGGGACTTAGGTTCATCTCGAATGTCCGGGATGAAGGGACTTCGATGTAACCCTATCCCGATGATCTTTCTCATTTCTTCTCGGATCAAAATGTTCTGGTCTCTTGCTCCTTGTTGATCTTCCTGGCAGTATGATGGATTTTCTCTATGCATGTTATATTGTTGATGTCTGGGAGGCGAGTATCGAGGACGGTGATGGTATCCTTGGTTATAGTTGCCCTCGATGTTGTTATAGCCTTGGTGTGGTTCGTGGCCAGGTCTATATTCATCTCTTCGAGAGCTTCTTCGATTCCAATTGGATTCTAGGCGGTTATGTCTATTAGTTCGCCTTGGGGGGTTCCCCTGTTCTCCTTCGATGATCTCGACACTCGGGGAATCGTGATACTCCTGAGTATTTTTACGTCTGTATGCCGCGTCAAATTCCTCGAGGGCCATCTCGAAGGCTGGGTATCTTTCTTTGAAAGCATTCATGAATATGGTATCCCTCGGCTTCTTGATAATTCTCATCCTCTTGGACTTTCTGTTTCCCCCGCTTCTTCTCAAGAAGGGCTAGGGTTCTGCGAGGGATCAGGTTTTCCAAGGAGACAGCGCCGCCTGGTTTCTTCGAGGACATATCTTCACCAAGCCAAGACTATTGCTGATTCCTTGGCACAAGCCGGACAGCCGATCCATGAAGCAGAGTTTAATGCCACTGTTTTTCAAAAATTGGCTTCTTAATATAATGGCATCATTAGTGGTCTGCAACAACGTGTTACACCTATCTCTTTCAATGAGTTACATGGTCAATTGGTTGCTCATGAGTTGCTATTGAAGGCTCAATAATCTTCTTCACCAAATATCAATATTGCTAAACGTTCTCCAAATAATCCAGCAACTTCCTTCCCTTCCCATAATGCTTCTAGAGGTCGAGACCGTGGCAACCGAGGAGGCCGGCGTGGTGGTTTTTCTTCCCCTCAAGAGACATTCTCTTATCGTCAGTCTCATTCTTTCTTGTCAGATTTGTGGTTACAATAATCATACTGCTCTTATTTTACTCATGGGGCTAGGCATTCTGGTGGTGACAAACCTCAAGTCTACTTGTCTATGTTGCCTTCCTCGTCAACTAATGGTGCTACTACCCAAGCCTCTAATACTGAATTTCCTTGGTACTCAGACACGAGTGCTGCTCACCATATTACGCCCGATCTATCTTCTCTTGCAATTGCTGATGGCTACAAGGGTAAGGATGCTGTCCTTGTTGGTGATGGTAACAAATTACCTATTCGTCATATTGGCTCAAGTTCTATTTCCTCCTTTTCTAAGCCTTTATATTTACATAATGTTTTACATGTTCCAAATATTACCAAGCCATTTCTTTTGGTCCAAAAGTTTTGCAAGGATAACAATTGCTTTTTTGAATTCACCATGATTTTTGTCTTGTGAAGGACCGGATTATCAGGCTACTTAAATATTTGAAAGTGATGTTTATCTTGGTTTGTTTAGATTAGTTTAATATCATAATTACTTGTATCTAGATTAGATCACGTGGTAGTTACAATTGTACTCTAATAATGAGGTTTTATTTAGTTGGTAATACGTCTCAAATGTTTCCAATAAATCACATATTTGAATCACATCGGGAATAAGTGAAGAACTAGCATTGAGTGGGTTGCAATTAATAAAGGATAATAACATATAGATAATAATTGATATATAAAGTTCATGCCCTTCTTAATAATGTTATTCTATTCCACGCCTTTTGTGCAAATTTTCCCTCCCCCCCCCCCCCCCAACCAAACGTCTTTTAGCTATCCCATTCTCATATTCAGGCTTACAACAATGCCGGACAGTTTAGTATTTGAACTCAAATAATTGTTAATTTAGGAGATATTCGCGAACGTTGTGGTACTTTTTGTTTTGGATATTGATTGTGAGTCTTGTCCATATCTACACACCCAAAATCATTCTAGTGTTTACATTTTTATTTTTATTTTTTAATATTCTACTTTAAATTTTTTTTAATAATGAAACTTTTTAGATAACGATTTTGAGACGGATGGAATAATATTCAATCTCGAAACCTGTTGAGAATTATCCATCTTCTTTTAAGACTGAAAATTCTGGTACCACCCTAATTTAATTTACGTGGATAAACTTGATTTAACAAACACATTACAAGGGAAAAAAAATTAAATACGATTTAAATTTACTTTTTTTAGTATGATGACGAATGAAGAAAGACATTGTATATACTTCTAACTTGACACATTATCCAGATGGAAAACCCACACAACTTCGTGGTCCAACGACGGAAAGAAAATGCGAGTAAATGCGTGATTAATTAATTAGCATACCATATGTAACCTTGCACAATTATTAAAATGTACGCCAATACCTTGCACAAATAAACTAATCCCACGAACTAACAAGTCCCAAATTTTAAAACGAACAATTATAAAATCGGTCGGATTTGTAGGGATATTGTCACTCAACAACATTACAACGGATCGAAGGAATATTGGGTTGGCCGCGACTCTGTGTTTGCATGTGGATATATATATATATATATATATATATATATATATATATATATTATATTTTCTTTGTTCCAAAATTATTATCCAATTAAAATTTTTAATTTAAGTTTAGTTTGTACTAAAAAAGAAAATCTAAATTGGACAATAATTTCGGACAAATGTCGTATGAAATAAGCTACATTCTGTATAGGTGAAACAATGACCAATAATTAATCCTTTGTATATCTAGCTGTATTTTGATTCCGGTCCCTTAGCTGAGGTTCATGTACATAAGTGTAGCCCGTATCATCTGATCAGCCTATGAAAACAGTAAATACCAATCAAAAGAAATTCTTTTTCAAAAAAAAAAAAAAGGCTATTCATTTTGCTTTTAAAGTGTGTTCATCTCATCTTATTGTTTCTCTGATTGTCCTCTCTTTATCACTTCAATCAAGAAGCCAACTGACAGTAAGCTATTCTGTTAATCCTTCTGAGAACGGAGTTGACGCAAGCGGCTCAGCTACCGTGGCTGGTGTTGATTTGGGAGCCAGCAGCTCCGCAGGATCAGGTGGGCAGAGTGGCTCCTTGAGTGGCTCTGCTGGATCAAGTGGAATCAGCGGCTCGGGTTGGGTTACGGCTTTTGGGCAAAGTGACTTTTTGAGTGGCTCTGCTGGATCGATTGGTGAAATTAGAATTTCTATGAACCAAGAATTCCATTTGTAGGACAGAGGTTTTATTAACCATACTGCCAATCTATATTTTGCTGTTCACGCGGTTTTGCCCCAATAGGTTATGCGCACGCCTGGTTATTCATGAGAGCTCTAAAGATGCGACCATAAGATTTTATAGGAGTGACCCACTCCACTCTCATATAGGTGAATTCATCAAGTGTACACTGTTTTAGATACACTACTCGCAAGAGATATGAATTCATTAAGAGTTTAACTCAACCTCACAATATATAGCAGTTTAAGCACCCATCACAGTAGAGTTTTAACTAAAAGTTCTTCAGTGTCAATATTGACTTGTTATTACCCATATGAACCTACTCCACAGGATCTCCAATCACATAAGTTGGGTTACCATCTTTATTGACAGTCAGTTGGTCTAAGTCCCATTTCCTTTGAGGTTTGAAGAATTAATTTTCTTTCCAAAGGTTTAGTCAGAGGATCGACCAAATTCCTTTCTGACTTCACATAATCAATGGAAATAATTGCATTCTTCAACAGCTGTTTTACGACATCATGTCTCAATTTCAT